AACCGATCCGGTGTGTCCGTGGGCCAACAGATTTTTGGAGCGCCCAAGAAGGCGGATGTAAGCGATGACGGTGAGTTGCGGGCTCGTCAAGAGGCTGACCGCAAGGCTAATGCGGAGGCAGCTGAACTGGCTCGTGCAGCGGCCGCCCGCCGTAAGCAAGAAGAGGCCGAACGACTTGCGAAGGAAGCCAAATCTGGACCCGCTTCGACCAATGAATCAAATGCAGCAAACACTGAAGCTGATCGCCAGGCCAAGGAGGAAGCTGATCGTCAAGCCAAGGAGGAAGCTGATCGTCAAGCGAAGGAGGAAGCGGATCGCCAGGCCAAGGAGGAAGCTGATCGTCAAGCGAAGGAGGAGGCTGATCGTCAAGCGAAGGAGGAAGCCGATCGTCGCGCCAAGGAGGAAGCTGATCGTCAAGCGAAGGAGGAAGCGGATCGCCAGGCCAAGGCGGAAGCGGATCGCCAGGCCAAGGCGGAAGCTGATCGTCAAGCGAAGGAGGAAGCGGATCGCCAGGCCAAGGAGGAAGCTGATCGTCAAGCGAAGGAGGAGGCTGATCGTCAAGCGAAGGAGGAAGCCGATCGTCGCGCCAAGGAGGAAGCTGATCGTCAAGCGAAGGAGGAAGCGGATCGCCAGGCCAAGGCGGAAGCGGATCGCCAGGCCAAGGCGGAAGCTGATCGTCAAGCGAAGGAGGAAGCGGATCGCCAGGCCAAGGCGGAAGCCGACCGCCAAGCCAAGGAGGAAGCCGACCGCCAGGCTAAGGAGGAAGCCGACCGTCGCGCCAAGGAGGAAGCCGACCGTCGTGCCAAGGAGGAAGCCGACCGCCAGGCTAAGGAGGAAGCCGACCGTCGCGCCAAGGAGGAAGCCGACCGTCGTGCCAAGGAGGAAGCCGACCGCCAGGCTAAGGAGGAAGCCGACCGTCGTGCCAAGGAGGAAGCCGACCGCCAAGCGAAGGAGGAGGCTGACCGCCAAGCCAAGGAGGAAGCCGACCGCCAAGCCAAGGAGGAAGCCGACCGTCGTGCCAAGGAGGAAGCTGATCGTCGTGCCAAGGAGGAAGCCGACCGCCAGGCCAAGG